GAGCCCTCACACTCTGCTGGAGGGAGTGAAAAGTGGTCCATTCTCTATGAAACTGAGAGCGGAGATTCCTCCAAAAACTAAACTGCATCAGTTCTATGACCCAGCTACACCACCCCAGCATTTTCACCTGAAGGACTCTGATACTTACACCTTGGTGTTCAGTGCAGCACTGTTTACATTAGCTAAGTGCTGGGACTGGCTTAAGCGTCCATCAACAGAGGGAACGGAGAAGGAAAAGGAGGGATACTCACACACCAGATTTTTTCAGCTCTAAAGAATGAAGCACTGCTGTTTCCAAGAGCCTGGCTATCACTGGAGGAAATTGTGTTAAATGAATTAAGTTAGCCTTACAAGGACAGATATCATGTGTTTTCTCTCATCTGTGGTTCCTAGATTTTGTGCAGATATGTGAAGTCACGTATGTATGTATGACACGAAAATAGACATAAAATAGTCTAGAGAAATAAAAGGGACTTATGGCAGGGCATAATATAAGGAAAGTGGGCGTTTAGAGGAATGAACTCAAATCCTACTACATACTGGTGCAAAGATGTCCCTATAAAAGTCAGAACAGTGTACAATAAACGTGTGTCAGTGAAACACACTCACACACATACACCAACAGCTGCCGTAGCCGCTTAGAATTTTTTTTTTTTTACTTTCATGTATGTGTACTGTATTTACAAAATTTTATGCCTTCCCTTTCTTCCCTCCAAGTGCTCCTTTGTTCTCTCCTCTTCCCCTCTCAAATTTACAGGATTTTCTCTTCCTATATCAGCAGGCATGGTGCACTAAATCCCTTCATGCAGCAGAGCTCGGCTTTCTTTTCCAGGAAAATGTGCTCTTCACTCCTATCCATCTTCTACACTCCTTTGTCCCCTATCAGGCTTCTCAGAAGTTTTTATAGAGAAAGTCCCAACTCACTTTTGGGGGGTAATCTGCATTATTCTTATCTCCAAAAGGTTCTGGGCTTTCCACCTCCACAGAATCCTAGATAGAAGTAGCCAGTGTCTTCATTTAACTGATTGAATCTAACCACAGAGAAAATCTTTTTCTTTCTTTCTTTCTTTCTTTCTTTCTTTCTTTCTTTCTTTCTTTCTTTCTTTCTTTCTTTCTCTCTCTCTCTCTCTCTCTCTCTCTTTTTCTTTTTTAAAGAAAATCTTCATGTGCTTTTGACTGATATCAAGGGGGTGCTAGAGTTTGGTGTTACATTCATCAATTCATCCAGAATCCAGTTGCTCTAGTTCTGACAGGCTCACTACCCATTCTATGCATCCCCCTGCACAAACACATCTCTAAATGTTTAAGCCCCTGTCCAAAGGTTAATAAAAAAAAAAATTAAAGCAATGCCAGATCCTGATGTCAATGATATATCGCCTGTTCAAACCACTTTTCTCACGTTAGTGCTGAAAACCATTTCTGCAATGGGTAGTATGAAGGGACCACTGTTAAATGTGTCTACTACTATAAGGCACAGCCTGAAGGATCCCCTCTCCAGAGATCAACGCTCAAGGGGCTAGAGTCATAACTTGGTGATAGAGCATTTGCCTGGCATGGCATGAGGTGCTGGGCTTGATTCCCACAACTCCACAGGGACAAAGAATCTCAGCAGTCGATGATTATATTTGGGCTGTTTTGAAATTGTCTTTGAGGCACCAGGTGTTTAGGAATAGGCTGTTTATGAGGCCAGATGTTCTAGGCCAGGCCCATTGATTGTGAGCTCAGACCTTTCCACCACTGATTTTCTACGAACCTGATCAGAAAGATTTAGCAATCTAAGAGCTGGGAGTTTCTAGATTCATCAACTGAGTTGATTGTTGCTTGAATGTCTTTCGTGATGTAGATTCTATCAGCTGGCCAGTTTGCTGGCCAGGTGGAAAAATATGCTTAGTCCTGCACCATGATCTACCTGTCTAATGTGACCCTTTGTGATGTTAACTCTTAAATCCAAGAAAACCGTAGGACAATCTGTATTTCTCAATACAAGCGGATAGGTCAGGAGCACGGAAGGCTAACCTATGGGAATGGTGAGGGACAATTAATGCTTGAATTGCAATGTTTATTTGCATTAGAAAACTTTACACAAGCTCAAATATCTTGGACATTTCTGACTTTTATTGGAAAATATATTCTCATAACTGAATGAGAAATTAAATCACTTACTATGTTTCCGGTGATGAGTTTGATGCTTAATGCTCTTCTACTTCTCAAACTCTGTGTTTTATGAAGCACTCCTGGGTCTTCAGGTTAGGCAGGATCTGCGTATGTCCACTGAACTATGGGAAAAACAAGGAGAAAAGATTCTGTGTCCCCACTTTTCTTCAAAATTAAACCAAATTTTCTATATGTTAGAATGAATACAGGTTACATCACTCTTTCTAGAAAATCTGTGGTGAAATCCCGAGGACATTATTAGAGATAGCTGTCTATTTTCCTGGACACATTCTGCTTTCAGGAGGAGGTCCAGAAGTATTCTAGGGTCATGGCAGAAGAGATGTGTATGCTAGAGCAAGGGTGTCAGAAGAAGGGCTGGGCTGGCTTGAAGGAAGTTTCCAGGAAGGGTGTGGGGGAGAGAGAGATGGTTTTCAGGTCATGATTGGAGTGATCTTAAAGGAAGTAAAAACAGTTCCACTGAGGTAACCCATCTTCTTTAAAATGGCCCTATCAAAACGAATGGAAAAGAAACAAGAAAAACGGAACAAAACAAACCAACAACCAACAACGAAACAAGGGGAAAACAAAGACCTAAAGGGACGGAAGCTGGGGCTTAAGTCCTAGTCCCCAGTTGCATTTCAGCAGGAGGGGCTTCTGTTTTTCACTTCTAGAGGATGAACACAGAGATACTTTCCAAATCCAGAATTTTCTCAACTAGTCTCTAACTTGAAAGTCCTCCCACGAGCATGAGACAACACTTAAAAATCATTCGAGCTATTTTCTATTTATTCAGAAACTAGATTCCCTAAACCATACTTAAAATCCTTAGTTTGAATTGTGTATTTATGCTCATGCCAAACTCCTCTGATGACTAACCATGGAGTGTGAAAGCTTGAGAAACAGGACATTTACAAATAACCGGCAATTATGTGGCGTTGTTCCTCCCAGTATAGAATATACATATAGAATTAAGGCCAGGATTTTTGGAAGAAAGAGTATAAATTTTTACTTACCAAATGCAACTATTCAAGCATTTCTCATCAGTTGAGATGAACGGTAAGCATGGAGATAATGTTAAGAATTAAGCACTTTAATTCTTAGCAGCTAATGATTAATTGGAATGTGCCCATGTAAAACACTGAATTAATACTGTTAAGGAAGGACTCAGTTGGCATTAACTTATGTTTTAAAATTATTGTAGCTTCATCAGTTAGTAAATCAACTCAAGCTCCTAGTTCATCATGCTGCCTTTTTTTAGACTTCAGTGTTTATGATATAAACAATGTAAATGCAAAATAGATGCACAGATATATTTTTACCAATTGTCAAATGAAAACTATGTGTACATAGCGTATGTGTGAGTGATAGAAGCCTGAATTTGTTAGTTCTTAATACAAATATATTCAAGAACATAAGCATTTCATAGTTGCTCATGCCTCTAGACTCACACTAGGACAGGACTAGGCATGGCGACTGACTTCAAATAAATACTGACCACTCTCTCTAAGAAGTTTAAAGAGAAATTCATAATTTATCCAAGAAAGAATTGTCCTCTCTCTTTAGTTTCTTCTTTTCTTTTCCAGTATGGGGCTTTTGGATTAAGCCCACTCCACACCAAGCAATTCCATAGGCGACATTCTTTCAAGTTCTCTTCATCTGTGTTTTCAGAGACTACTAGTCTGTTAATTCCACTTCAGGACTCCTTTGAGTCATAAAGCAAACAAGGAAATACTTGTTCCTTCTCCTTCATTATGATTTTACTCCTGTGTTTGATTACATAATTTTCTATCTTCCTGAAGATGAGGACATAGGTGAGGTCATAGAAAGCAGACATGAAGAAGAACGTTTTTCTTGTCACTGAGTAGTCTCTGTACGTAGAGGCACCATGGGGGCAATTTGGATGATAATCTTGACTGACTCGTTATTTTAGATACGTGAGAGAACTGTTTTGCTACCAATGACCATTCTATCGTGTCAGACGAGATATGTTACCGTGGCGAAGACCATCATCGTTGTCATTTGGGTAAACGTTCTTTCTTCTAGTGTCTCTTCTAAAACACCACCAGAAAGGGATTTATGTTAGATGAAAATATTCTATCCCAGGTCTGGTTCACACATAGCTAGAGCTGGGGTGAGGACAAAATATCTAACCATCCATTGCAATTGTTCTTATTGTTCTGGCCTTTTCTCAGTTCAGATCTGAGGCAATGTGAGCTTCATGGAAGATTCTAATTTCAAAACGATGAGAAAGACAGAAGGCCTATAATCAGGTTCCCTCACTTCCTCATGCAAATTTTTTGTTACCTATACATAAAAGCTTATTTGGTATGAGTAATCCATGTAATTCAGTTTGTATCTTTTAAAATATGTCATGTTTCCAAGCTGGGTGTGGTAGCACACACACCTGTAATCTCAGCACTTGGGGAGGTAGAGGCAGGAAGATCTCTGTGAGTTGGAGGCCAGCCTAGTCTACAAAGCAAGTTCCAGACAGCCAGTGCTACACAGAGGAAAAAAAAAGTCTCAAAAAAAGTCATGTTTCCATGCAAAGACGTAAACCAAAATGCTCAAGTGGGAGACAGAAGAACACAGTAACAGAAAGGTTTGAACAGTTTAACCTCTTATGTAAAATTTGATGTCTTACATAACTTTAATGAATTGACAAAGGCTTGTGGAGGAAAGCAGCTCCAGATGGCAAACATACGCAAGGGATTTAGTCAAACAACTTTTTGGCAAGGATGGTACGATTTTGTAATCAGGTAGGAATCAATGAAATGCAAGATCAGTGTGGTTAATGATCTGCAGTTAGTGGTTGAAGAAGTATATAAGGACGAATTTCCCTCTACTCATCTCACCTTTCCTATCAACCCCACTAGCTCTGGCACAATGAAGTGGGTAACTTTCCTCCTCCTCCTCTTTGTCTCCGGCTCTGCTTTCTCCAGGGGTGTGTTTCGCCGAGATGCAGCACGTAAGAATTTTCTGTTTTTATGTCTCTATTTCGGTCTTAACTTTCCTAGCAAAAAAAGCCCTGCATCTTTAAAGAGTTAAGTTTGCCTCTAGTGCTTATTTCTAGACTGTGATGATGGTTTGCGTCTGAGAACCCTTGTGTGGTTATATTATTAATTTATTTTAGATATCTTTGGTAATGATAATGGGGGGATTTTAATTTTAAAGAAATGCTACGCAGAACAGCCTAAACCGTATCAGATGCAGCTGAAGACAGACTTCATCATGGTCTCAAATGGCCTGCTTATTGTACCATTCTATATTAAAAACTAAAAGTGTGTATTGCTAATTTTATAAACGGAGCCTCCATTTGTATTTATTTTTATTTCAGATTGTCTTAGTAGATACCTACAGATATGACAAAAAGCATTACATCTTGGATTTGAATGTTAAGCTATAAACAGTTAAATTTTAAAATGATATTCTTGGTGAAAGAACATTTCTCCAAATGTAGAAGAAAGGAATCATTGCCATTTCCGGACTTTTTAAAAATGTATTTTATCTATCTATCTATCTATCTATCTATCTATCTATCTATCTATCTATCTAT